GATTCAGAGGAACCGGGCCGCCGTTGGAACATATGGTTGGTTTTTAAAGTGGCTATTTTTGTTCTATAGACTCTGACACACAATCATATCACATCTCGTGTTTCTGCGTCATTAGTCAGAAAAGCAATAAGGTGTCATATAAGAGGAAGAAGCTCAATTAACACTAGTTTCAGATGGTCTCATTCATTAGTCCGTCATTGATATTAAAGCTGTTATTTTTCCTCCAGTGCTGCTGCAGCCATAACCAAACCGAATATCTCTCCAGATAATAAAACGTAGCTTTTATTGTGCCCATTTTCAAACATGTTGGTTATAACTGCTTCTCTTAATTGCCAATCCAACTTGTTTCTGACATAGAAACAGTGTTTCTGAATGCTTTATTGTCCAGTTTGGACATTAAAAAGCTCGAATATTGACCTGGAAAGTTTGTCATCCTCTCGCTCTGAGGCAACTGACTCAGCTCCTCATTTATTTGCCTCTCCTCCTCTATCAGGTCTCTCATGTTTTGCATATTTATAGAAGCAAATTCCCTATAAAGCTGCTCCGGCTCACATATGTCTGTAAAACGGGTTGTTAATACCGTAGGTAATCCACGGCTGCTGTTAAAATACTCAAACAATGCTGCTGGGCTTTATTAAAACCGGGATTTACAACAGCATCATCATCTGACAAAACTACAGTCCACTTACCTCAAAAACACAGTCAGTGGCAGCAATTCAAGATTATCTAACACATAAACTGACCATTTACCGCACATATGATGATAAAAAGTTCATTTCATGGGATGCTAAATTATTATTGATAAGCTTAAAAAACAAACTTACGTTTACAGAAGAAAGCAGGTTCTAAAACTCCTGCAAAATTCAAATACTGCTGGAAATATAAGGTAAAAAATAAGGCGCTTTGTAAATATTTGATCAACAAAATTGTTTTCCTGTGACCTGTAATACAGCACAGTTAGATTTCATTATGTACTTGCGGTCCCAAAGTAATTTTCTTTGAGCCCCTGGAAAAAGTTCTGATTATTACGTTTAGATGTAATTTCACACTCGGCACATTTAGATTGTTTTCATTTCAGGATCCAACCAGAGAATAAAACCCTGGTGCACTGAAGAGACGGCTATCAAACCGGTGATGCTAATGAAAAGTACTCAGTTAAAATAACCTACTCATGTTATTTTTTTTTCCTCTCCCAGTGGTGAGTCAAATATTGGCTAATTCATCCCTGGGTAAGATCATTTCTAACAGGAAACAACTGAATTTCCCATTACAAATAGTGCAAACATAGCTAGCTTTAGCTTCTGCTTGCTAGCATGTAAAATGCTAATATTACTCAAGAGAACAACCCCATTGTTTGGTGTACAATAAAAACCGTTATTATCAACATTATTTTCCACCATAACTTTACCGTCTCATTTATTATTTTATCCCAGGTAAAAGTTAAAGGGCCGTCGTTATCTTAAGTTTAAAATAACCCAGTTGGGGCATCTTGCTAATCCAGTCGTGGGTCAATCTAACATGACAGATTCTGAGTTTTGCCCAACATGATAGGTTCAAATCTTACTGAAAATCAGGTTTAATCAGGTTTTACATATTCATTGTTTCATTTGTGAAATGTCATTTTGCTCCCAGAGTGAAGCAGTTGTTCTATTCTTGATGTGTTTTCTCGCCAAATTCTTTACCTAATATAGAATAAAGTCCAATTAATTAGAATATTGTTGAAACATTCACTTATTCCAGGAACTCTGTTCATAAAATAAAACATACATAAGCTAATTGCACATGGACTGATGCTTTCAAGCCATTATTTCTGTTAGTTATGATGATTTCAGGTAATGAAAACAAGATAAAAAAATTGGATCAGACCAGTAAAAAACATTTTATTACAGAAGTGTTTGCTTATTATCTTTTCAAAACCTTTTCAGGTCGACTTTTAAGCCGATAAACGAGCCTCATTGGAACGTATATTCTAATTTATTGAATATGACTCTACATCCGGAGTCCCATGCAGGATACAGTCTATTTCATGTTATCCCAGATCCCATTAAAATAACCGTGTTCTCCTCCCCTTACATTTTAATCTCTCACTCCTTCGAAATAGGTTTCTCACTTTCTAAGGTCAGTGTAATGGAAAAAGAAAGCATTTTGTTCCCTTTTTTTAAAAAAGACATCATACCGAGTTTATCCCCTCTTATCTGATGTGCTGCTGAAGGAGACAAAAGGGGCTTTAATAAGCTACATGAGTGATTTTAGTTTCCTGTTTCTTTCTTTCTTCTATCATCAGCATCATCTCTGTTTTTCTTCTCGCTGTGGTCACCTTCAGCCCATCCTCTCGTCATCCTGTCTCCATTCATTCCCAGTGATGAGGTGACTCACGCAGCCATCTGCTGCCCAGCAGAGCTACCGCTGCCGCATGACCCTCGTTCTGTGTATTAACACCGCTCCTGGGGAGACACTGATATCCATACGGCTCTATATCTTACCCTGAAATGCCTTCCCCCCTCCTCCTCCTCCTCCTCTTGTGTGGCTCTTATCAGATTTTCCCTTTTTATTCCCCTTCCTCCTCCTTAGTTGAATTCATGTCTCCGAGTGCTGTTTTACTTCATTTCACCTGATGCTGTTGTTTTTTTTTCTTGCTGTCCTCGTCTGCTTCTACATATTTTGGCCTCTGGGAGACAGATTGTAGTTATGAGGTCAGACCGTGTGTGTGCCAGGCTGCGTGGGAGCATATGGATATGAATTTCAGCAGGTTGTGCGGATGTTTTTTGTTTGCTGATGTCATTGTGATTCTCTGACGAAACAACATCGGACACAGGGCACACACATTGGGAGCAGGTCTGAATGTACGAAGGTGTGTTTTTACTAAACCTGACTGTCATGCTGTTAAAAATCATAATAGTTAGCTTTTTTCAAGTTTTAGGTACTTTAACTTTCTTTTATTTCTTAGACTGTGCTAATGTTCACTACAGCTTTTATTAAACTATATGACATTTGATATTTTCCAAATATAAAATGCACAAATTTATCTTAATGGAGGCTACTTACTTGCTACAGTAGAAGCTAACATCAATGGTCTTTGTTATCTCTTGCTTTTGGATGTATAGTCAATTAGTGCCAGCGAAAATAAATAGCACTCCTGGACTAGCAGCTTTACAAACGCAAGCTATTAGCGTGAAGTAGCCTAAGTATTTCGACTTCACAAACTGCATTTGTTTTGAATATTTTAGATATGCTCCACACAAAAAAATGCTACTAGGCAATTTTTCTGCAAATACCATGGAGTTACATTCGACAGAAAATTCTGAGAATAATGAATAGGAGGTGTTCTACTGTACAGCGGTTATACATTAACATATGCAGAACCTTTATTTGAGTAACCAAAGTGTTTGCTACATAAATGAAGAATTTAAAGTTTGCCCTGCGCTATTTTAAAAAGTGGCATCAAAACAAAGCACAGGGACTTTCAGCTAACGCTAAAGTCTGTTATTTTTTAAACCGCAGGGTTTCTCTTTTTTGCTAAAGTGATGACCAAGATAAAAAAAACTGGACCAAATCTTTCTGACTGCATTTACCAGCAGTGATTAAGTCAATTACTCACTTGAAACAATGTCAAGCAGAATGTAAACAAAGAGAAAACAGGCTACAGTTCAAATCCAGCTGCATGTAGCATTCAGCTATGAGTCTTTACACAAGCAGAGCGACTCAGATGGCTTCTGTGGTGCATTCAAGGACAACTTGTACATTGTCTATATATCAAAATAACTCCAAAGTACTATAAATTTGGAGGGGTGCTTGTGGTTGTAACTTTAAATGAGCAGATATTCTTTTACAAGCTAATTTGTTAGCTAAACTTTCTGCTTTTTGATAGAGGATAGAAATAGAAAATATGACTGAATCCTTAGCAGGAGCTTTGTAATGTGTGTGGCTTAATGTCAGATGTAAAAAAAAATTGTACATAAAAAAAAAAAACCTCAAGTAATTCAGAAGACAGCTTCAGGCAACTGGCTTCATCCTGAAACAATCGCTCATTCTTATCTGTGCTACTTAAACTCCAGCGGAATGATTTCGCCTCTGCCCGTAATACCACATCCTCTCTTTATTATCTATCTTTGTTTGCCTCTGCAGTTTTTGCACCTTATTTCCTGACGTCTTTGTCATTTATCACTCGGCGCCGACATGCAGCGGCGATGGCGTCGCCTCGTTTCTCCTCCTCTGAGAGATATCTCACTTTACGAACGAGCTCATCCAGGCGTCTCGCTCGAAGATCAGAACTTTGAACGGTCTCACAGGCGTCTAGTCAACACACCGTGGCGCAGACACCGCCGGTGAAAAGATGTGCTGTCATTCGATAGGGAGGGGGTGTGTGTGTGTGTGTGTGTGTGTGTGTTTACGGATATCTGTTGCTCAGAATGTTAGCTCTGTGTTGCTGTTGTTATGGATGCAAGATGAAGGTGATCCGTAACCTTCCTTCAGTCAGTGGGAGAAACCGGTGACAGAAAGCCACTCTGCTGATTGGATCACACACACACACACACACGCACACACACACACACGCACACACACACACGCACGCACGCACGCACACTCATGCTAAGTTATTGAGATGAGGTCTGTTTTTAATCAAGCCTTGTTTTCTTCTCTGATCGCAGGGTAATTACATGGTTTGCTGCTTCATTAATTAAACATGAGCTGCTGACATGATCATTTAGACTGGGCCTCCTAAAGACAACACATATTTTTTTGACACAATAGTCCTGGAATGTCAAACCGAAGTGAACTGGCAGAGGAAATACCGTATTTTGAGACAAATTGGGAGCTGACCTGACGTTTAATAGAGTAAACAGGTAATCCATCAGACCTGAAAAACACTCGATTTAGAGATAAAAAATCAAGTATAATAGCCTACCCTTCTTCCAGGGATCCCACTTGTATCACTTCAAAGCTGCGGCCTTTCCAGGACATTTCATCTTTGTCTAAAAGGCCTCATATCTCGCGTCGTCATTTGCATGAATTGGCTCCTTTGAACCGGCTCTCCTCCTCGGCGGAAGAGACTCCCTCCTTTATCCTCTTTTGAATATGTGCCGTTCATGGAAAACCTTCATGCAAAATAAGCAAAAAAAAGGAAAAAGTGTTTGCTCTGAGGTCGTCGGCTGCCTGTATTATTCATCTGCAGCATTTCCACTTCCGAACGCATGCAATATGAATGAGACCGAGATGACCACCAGAAGGAAAACACACACGCACACACACACACAGACACACACACACACACGTGTGGACGGACTTTTACGAGGTCTTTATTGTGGTTTTCATGAATACATTAAAGTTACACGTGTTTTTATAAATAAGTAAGTAAATATATATTTTAATATATTTGAAGTCCTGGAGTTGAAATCAAAGCTCTTATGTAGATCCACAGATGAAAAGTTTTAAAATGTTTCACAGACTCCAGAAGTTAAAAATAGTTATTTTATTTTTTGCGACTTTTTTGGGGGGGATCAGAGAATTTTGTTTTAATTTAGAATCAGAAAGTTTTTTTATTGGTAGTTCAAATATTCAAAAATCTTTTTTTTTTTTCCTTTTCATTGTGTAGAATTGATGTTTTTGAGCTTTACATCATGCTATGATGATATTCTCTCATCAAAAACATACCTGGAGTGTTGACTTGATTCTTTCATGCATGTTTCAGAAATCCTTTAAACTCCCTTGGCAACCGTTCAGCTGACCAAAACGCCTGGTTGGTGTTGTGGACAGCTCCTTCAGACTAGCCATCAACAATTAGCAAACACCTGGTGGAACTGCACATCATGCTGAGCTCATTATAGGAGCCACTTCTCAGCGCAACGCTGGTAAAGTGATACAAGTATTGAAGGGTTAATAGGGGAGTGATGTGTGGTGACTTCCTGAAGGCGGAGTTTCAGAAAGAGCAGGAGTTCTTAAAGAGACAGAGGCCCAATTTCAGGGCGTTAAAAGACAAGGCAACGTTTCTTTTAACTCGTATTTGATATATAGCAACTTTAACAACTGGAGTTGCCTGACTATGCTATAAAATTTCACCACGTGCCTGGAAAACAAATAATACTGCCCCTTTAAGTGGATCAAAACAACAATTTCCCGCAGTTTTAGCAACAGCTGGAACATTAGATAGTAACTGGGGGATTTGTACTTTGCTGCATAAATTGGCATATTTTTGTAACTCTTTTATCTTCGACTGGTGTTAAAAAAGCTCCCTCTCGAAAGGACCCTGGAGCACACGTTTTAATGTTTAATAGTCCTTTGAATGAAAAAAAAAATCTAAATTAGAATATATTGGACCTTTCATAAAAATCTTATGTTTCCTCTTACTGCTGACTTTAACTTTTCTTTAACAACTAATGGGTCTTCAATATGAATCCTTTGCTGTGGAAGTCAGTGAGGAAGATTCAAAGTCAGCACGGAGAACATAGAGATGGTGCATTCAGTGACTGGAAAAGGACTCGGATTTTTGAGTTTCTGACCAGTCAGTCATACTTGAGGACTGGTGAAGCTGAAAATCAGGCGCCCAAATCAGTTTCCTCTTCCCTTCCACCTCCAGTAGCTTTCTTCACTCTATAAATTATGTATCTATACTCATATCGATCCTGCACACATGTAAGATATATAATAAACGGCAGGTGTTGATGTCCCACAAACCACTTGAACAACTTGCATTCTCTCCCGTTTGCATGTGTGCTGCATTAAAAATGCAGAGGGCTGAAATGTGCTGCATCACATTCCAGAGCTTGTTGAATATATTCCCTCCCCTTGTGACACAGTCAGTATTCTGAATAAGAAAAAAAAAAACTCCTTTTGACTCCTTGTTAAAGCACGTCAATGTTCCCCCCTGCTGCTTTTTTCTACAGTATCAATCAGGTCTTTATTTTTATCTCTGCTTTCCAAACTAACAGCCCCCAGATCCCCGCCAAGCTGAGCGTCAGGCCGCTCTCGTAAAGCGTCTGACTCTGCGTATCTCTGCGGAGGCTCGTAGTTCATTCACGCTCTGCCCAATTAACCGCACTCTTCTCCGCATACACCTTTGATGTTGCCTGCGTCTCGGAGTCCCTCCGATGAATACGGCGGGTAGCGGAGGTGTCGGCGAGGCCCCTGGGTGGGGCCTCATTAACCCACATTTCTCCCTCCGACGTCGGGACGGGGCGCGGTGCTCGGAGGGGGTTCTCGCTCTGCTCGTCGGAACGCGTCCGAGGGAAGAAGAAAATGGAAAGCATTCCTCTGAAGAAACACCTCAGCATATGCAAGGGCGATGAATGCTGGGAGCTATTACCCCCCCTCGCCCCCCCTCTAATTTCCATCTTCTAATTTGCCGTGTATTACAGCCGGCTAATGCACTGCTAATGCAGTATTCATTCGTGGTTGGAAGATGGAGCTTGAAATGGGAAAGGCATCGTTTCCAGAGTTTTGCATATTAAATATAAGCGTTATGAGAAGCCAGGATGGAAAGAAGAAAACTGTTTGCAGTATGTTTAAGTCTCTGTTTTCACTACAGCACAAACCAAAAGAGTCGTCAGTAGCGGTTTCTCCATTTTATTTGACTTTGTTGGATTTTGAACCGTTTTCTTTCACTTTATGTTGAGCAGTTGCTCTGCTGCTATTGTTAAGGAATGACATTAGCTGTGAAATGTTCACATTTTTTGCTAAAAAGCAGTTTCTCACTCGATAATATCGAGTTTTGTTTTATTGCTGTTGCAGAATACCATCAGATGAGGTGATTTAGTTCCTCTGGAGCTGCAGAGCAAAGGGCATTTTTACATGCAGCATCCCTCACATTCATTGGTGCCTTTAGTAAAGATGAAAAATAAATATATTTATTATATTTTATTGCCATATTACACAAAATAGGACAAATTCAACTTTTTATTTCCCTGCGTTCTGTTTGTACGACTCCCTTTTACCAACAATATTTCTGTAAAAATCCAGAGATTACCTATTTTATTTGACCATTGTCATTTACTTACTTGTTTATTTGTGAAAATGTCCTGATAGGCTTCATAAGAATGTTTTGGAATAGAAACCGACCCACAGGATCACTGATCCTCCACCGTACTTTACAACCTTAAGCGTTTGTTGCAGGAAAACTTCATCACATCTGACCAAAGCACGTATTTTAAAGGTGACTATTGTTGCTACTTTAATGTAGGTTCCCTCCCCCCCCACCAATGACTAAATAAATTCAATTTTATGGATAGATTTCTATTTTTTTTCTACTTTGAGAATATGCCACTGAACTAAAATATTTTCGTACAGCTTTTTCGTCCACTTTACCAGAGATACCAACAAGTGTGAACAGGTTTATATGTTGGACTTGTTGATGTGTAAAATCAGTCGGATTCCAGTGTGTTTTAAAGGATGTAGGGCAGCCGGCTTATCCCTTCTGATACACTCACAGCAGTTCAATCTGGAAAGACTCAGACGGAGAACAAGGAACAATTAAAAGATTTAATGACAGCAATGAATATCAGTTCTTTGGCGCTCGGGCCCCGGCAGCTGATTTGAGCTGAGATTTGATGTGAACTCGATGAACATCCCGATAACTGATTAGGGATGCTCTCCCCCCGGGGCCCGACACTGGTGGTGGTGGTCAGGAAGGGTTCCATCCTGGAGAACCGAAGGATGAGGGTGGAGATGGGGAGGTGGTGGGTTGAACGCAGCTGGGAAGCGTCTGACGGTTTGGGTGTGGATCCTTTTATGCAGAGCCTGATTGCTGATTGAACGTGCAGGGTGAGGTCCAGGCTGAGGACGGGGATGAGCATGACGTCGATGGGTGAACGGAGGGGGCGGAGTCTTCCAGCTTGAACTTCTGCTAAAGCTCCATGTCTTTTTTTTAGTTTTCTGCATATTACGAGCTCATGTTCTACAATAGAGCAGCAGCATTAGTAGCAGTGATGAAACATCACATCAATGACCAGCTGGTCTACATTTCATTGAGACCAGACGTAGATGATAAAGTCTTATGGAAGACTTTATCATTTGTGACCCCATTGTGACCCCATTGCCAAGCTTCTCAGGCTTTAGCAGTTCTGTCACGTATCTGCATTGTTTTTTTTGTTTCGAGAGACATCTCCCAGTAAAATGTTGCTGGTGCGCATTTATCCTACATTTGTAAAGCGGTTTGTTCCCTCTTACGTAAGGAGCAGTAGACGGACTTTTCAATTAAGTTACCGATCCAGAGCGCTGGGAGAAGCGACTCTCCTGGGAATAGAGACGCAAAGTGCTGGATTAGTGAAAGATCGGCAAACACAGAGAGGAGGAAGAGACATAACTCTTACTGGAACAATACAGAGAAACAGCCATCGTCATCAAATTAGAAATTCAAATTTGCTACAAATTGTGATCATTTGAAAAAGTGAAGTACATGTTTTTTTACTTGCCATAATTCCCCATTAAATAGATTAATGTCATAGATTAGTTGGTGGGATATAATGCTCCTACACATATTTGGTAGCCTGATTTTGAAACATGTTGCTTTTCACCATATATCTGGAACTACAGCGCCAGTTCAATTGGTTGCCTTTAAGAAGACAGGATATTACTACTGTACTGGCAGCTTTAGCGATCATATTGCATTTGATTAAGGCTTCAGAGCTCTTCCATCACTTGTCAAGCCGTCTTATTACACCTGACCTCCGTACATTTACTCTCTCCGCTTCGTTTAGAGCCGCAGTGTAAGTCACTGTTGTGGCAGGTGGTGGTTATTGTTGCTTCAGGGGGCTCATAAAACCAGAGCAGGCAGCCGTGCTTCAGAGCAAAGCCGTTGGTCCGAGTCCTTAGAGGAGCTTAAAACATCGCAGCAGGCGTCCGGGTCGGACCGCTACCTTTAGTGCGCGGTGTGTGGACAGCAGCGCTCGTTCCTCCGTCACACACCGAGGGCCAAACAGCGTGCCGTCATGACTCATTCATTCGTAGGACTGCTGCTAACACACAGTACTTTGACTTAATTTCCATCGCGATGAGAAAAGTTGACTCTGCAGAACCCGACAGTACAACTGCAGATGTGGAAGAGTGTTGAACAGAAGGACAGCAACGCACAGATCTGACTCTGGTTTCTAAAATCCCCTCTCACGCTGACAAATTTAGCCTCTCTGGAAATGAAGAGATCTAGTTTAAAATCCTCAGACAGTTACGGACGTAGGCCCAGAGCGCTTGCAATCGGACAGGTTTTAAAGTCTCGATCTCGTTTTATCCCACCGTGTGTCCTCCTCGTCCTCCAGCTGGCTCCTGCATGACTGTCGCCTTCCTGCTGTGACCTCCAGCTGTGCCAACAGAGCCTGGCTGTCTCTCTCTAATATCACAGAGCCTCACATGCTGACACCTGCTGAACCGCAGCACCAAGTCAGCGCATTAATGTCAAGTTAGTTTTAAGGACCGTGTGGATTCTGCACTCGTCAATTTGACTACCTCACACAGTGCTGAAAAAGGAATCCTGTTGCTTAATGTCGTACAGGCTGTGCAAAAAGTAATGTGTGTTTTCTTCTCAGCAAATCCCCTTGTTTCCTTTGAAGTCGTTGCACATTTGTTAGGAAATTTTGTTGGTGATTTTAGCTGTACTGAACTCTGTCCGCCAATCATGAACAGTTTGAATTGAGTTTATTTGATTGGATAGTTGAAGTTTAAAGAAACAGCACATAATGGAAACGTAACTTGAAGAAACAAGAGAGTCCTTGTTGAGTGAATGACACAGTTACCGGCTTTGTTTCCTGTCATTCATTGAGGTTGTATTGGTCACTCCGGCTTTTTTAAAGTTGTTCATCCGTATGCCACAAATACATTTTCCTTATAAACGTTTCCAAGGTTTCCTCCAGAAATCATGCTAAGAAGTTTTAGCGTGTCCCAGCCTGACCCTACAGTTATCAGCCTGTCTTTCATCATTACAAACAAGAAGAAGCTCAGAGTTCATCGCTGGTGTAATCTCAGTCCCATCTTCACTCCTACAGCACACCTCGCCACTGTCTCATTGACCTTCCACATGCAGTAACTTACAGTGAATATAAAGGACCTTTGACAGCATCTGCAGTAGTCATAATAAACTGATCGCCTCCTGATAACGTCATACGGAGCTCAGTTTTGAGGAACTCCTTTGTGAGCTGACCTGAAAGCTCGCTGCTCTGTCATCACCTGGCTTTGTTGAAGTCTGTGCACAACGGGCACAATGTCATCCGTTCTCACCAATTGAAATTTGTTCATTGTGATTAACCCAAAAACAACAGCCAGCATCCGCCTGCGGTCTGGTTTGTGGTTGTTGATCTTCATTGAACTGTTAATTCTGTGGAAGCAAGCTGTTTGAAGAGAAACTGTGTGCAAACACTTTTGACAAAATGACTTTCTGAACATGTTGATTTAAAAAAATTACACAAGTACAGAACTATATGCCTTATAAGTGCAATGAAGTAAATATTTCCACCTAAAAAGTCCACCTAAAAAGTCTTTCTCCAAGTTTTTTTTTGTGTATATTTTTTGCATAATTGTTGCAAATCTGTTTCATTAATTCAAAATTTTCCCTCATTTTTGAAATGAACTTCTTTTTAAATGTGTTAAAGTGCAAAAATCACCACAAAGAAACAGGGTCACGCTGCCTTTTTGTTTAATTTTTGTTCCAGAACTCCAATTACGCTGACAGTCCACGTTTCTCTCATCATCCAAGCTGTCTTTTATTGCTTCCTTCAACTCTTCTCAGAATTTTATGGAACGCCTCAAATCCAGACAGCTAAAATATATTAACTCCTAAATGAAAATGAGGTGATGTCATCTTGAGGAAACACAGCCTGTGAAGTGTGAAGATGTGGGAAAAAAAAAAAAAGCTGAGAGACTTCCAAGCAAAAACAACCTCAGCGCGCAAAACCCAACAAGCAGTCGCGTAAGGCTGCGTGTCTACTGGGAGCGCAGAAGCTGTCAACAGCCACGCCGCACATTATTTGCACCTCTTCCTCTGCTTTGCGGGATGTGAAAGACGTTCGGCGTTCACCGCACACACACACAGAGAGATCACTGATAGACACCCAGCCCTGAAAGCCTCCCCGCATAGTTTCAGAGGGAGCGGAGGATGGATGAAGCGGGCCGGAACGATGGCAAACTGACTCGGTGATTTAAAGATGGGGGGGGGGAAAAACGGTGCCTTGGTAGGAAAAGAAAAGAGAGGAGAATGTTCAAAATAAATGGGTCGCTTCAGTCAGGCCTGATAAGCCTGTCAGTTTCAGTGGGATTGTCAGAGCGAGGTTATTCTCTCTTCCATCCATGCGCTTGCTGGAAAGTTGAGTGTAAAAAAAGAAATTGCTTAAATATGAAGAGGCAAAAGTCGGAGGGTTTTTTTGTCTTTTAGTCACTAAATAAAACACAGCAGAGGACTTTTGATCCTCTGCTTCATGGGTGGAGCAGCAGCAACGTGCGTGGGAAAACGGGGAGGATCTACCAGAGGCCGCCTGTCAGTCATTTAGCACGCCGGGGGACAGAGGAGGGGGCGAAGCAGAGGGGAGGGGTTCGTCTCTATGTGACAGCGACTTGTCAGAGCTTTGGAGGATGCAGATGCAGCACATTTCGTCCCAGCATCCCATGAGAAGCGTCAGGAATCACGTGATCTCAGCCTCGGTAGCTTTTCTCATCATGTGAGTGACAAGATTCAGAGGAGGTGGATGGAGAAGTTAGTGGAGCAGGCGGTGTTTAACTGAGGTGGGATGAGCTTGTTTTTTTTATATATATTGTTATTGGTTATTCTTATTTTGTTGTTTTTTAGGTGTCTCTTTAGTCTGTAGCTGCTGTAATTCAAACGTCTTGAGGAAATCCTTCCTGCAAGCTTTGTTGTTTCGCCTCTTGTCACTGGGTTTAGTCTTAAAATGTTTTTTTTTTTACCTTAAAAGTATTTTCACTTTTAAATTTTAAAGAAAATGTTTCTGACACATTGAGCTGGTGCATGTACTCTGGTTTTTGTGCTTGTTTCCAGGTAAAATGGCAAAAAACATTAAAAAAAAATCCAATGAAAAGGCTCATTTGTTTGTCTCTTACGTACAGCTCAGAGGTTTCTCAAGCAGCTTTTGAAAGCCAGGTCATTGCAGAAATCAGGTTGAATAGTCAAAATATTTCAGGTTTTTACCACTGCAGTCCAGATTCCTTAAAAAGTCGGGCGACCCGATATTAGGAAAACATGAAATGGTGATGAAATTATCGAATGTATAGAATATTTGTTGCAGCTATCCTACATTTCCTCCACCCTTCTCTTTTTTTTCCAACATGAATCGCAGTCAGAAAAAAGCATCTTGTATTTCTGCTTCCTCTGACTTTAATTTAAACACCTCACTGATTCTTGAGTCTTTGCTCTGCAGCAACGACACACAGAAAGAAGATGCTGTCAGCACAACCTGATGGCAAAAAGATACGATTTTTGAATTTCATCAGCTGAACTCTTAATGTGTTTCTAAACACACTCTAAACTGGCTTCTCATTTTAAATTTAATCTGAAAACCCTACTCTGTTTTGTTTGCTCTGTTTTCTAGGAACTCTGCCGACACGCGCGCGTTGAGTGCGAGTGTTTTGGCATGTGTGGGTAACCGTACACTGGCCTCTCCTGACAGAGGAGAACTAATTATGCAATTGACTCAGCATCTAATTGAATCAGAAAAAAAGGAGGACGGGGTTTGTTTTACAGTATCAGGATACGGTTGCCTCTCTAACCTCGTGTCTCTGGTGCTCATTGTGCCTCAATCATTTGCTCAGCAGAGATAAAAGCGGCCGCGCTCGTCAATGTTATTGACTGAGCTGGGATGGTTTGGTGTTGCTTTCAGAAACAGCGGCTCATTTATGAATGACCCCCCTCGGTTTCCTCCCTCTGTTCCTCCAGCTCCGGCCCTCGTCCGTCCGGCTCGATAAAAAGGCTCCGAATACCAGAGAGGAAGCTGGCCGCCCTGGGATCTGAGTCAATGACCTGTTGGACAACACAAGAAGCACGGAGGATTAATTAAAATGGGGTAAGTTTAAGAGATTAGACTTTGCGCTGCCAATAGCTGCAGGAGCTTCGCACAGCTGCAGCAGGACTTATCAGCAAACATGATCCCTGCAACGCGACGCTCACTGCTGGGTAACCTCTGGCCAAGCTGAGACGCAGCGAGATGTGCTGATAGCAAAATTCACAAGCAGACTTATGCTCTGGCTAGTGCAGAGACATGTGCATGTAGGCAGGAAGACGAACTGAAAAGATGCAAAGAATGGAGATGTAGGAGCGTTAAACAGAGCATTTACAATAACTCATACACTAAGTGAAAAGGCTTTCTACTACAACTGCAAACTTGAACGCAATTAAAAAGTGAAACAGAAGACAGGATTGTTAAAATCAATACGATTCAGCTTTTTTGCTTCAAATGAAAGGAAAAACACAAGACACACAGTGACAGTATTTACTCTCCTGAGAGCAGCGGTGTCAAACTCATTTCTGGCCGGTTGTGCCAGAATGTATTGATACAACCTGATCAGAAACTGTTAAAATATCAATGATTTTTTTAAATTAAATAATATTATTGAACATCTTTTCAGTCCCTCCAGGATTTTGTGATACTTTTTGTGATTTTTTACAATAGAAATGAAAGTGTTTGTGGTACTAATTTGGAAATATGTGTGATATTTACGCTCATTTATGATAGTAAACATGACTATTTATTACTCGCTGCGTAGATTATGGACTATAATCTGACATCAGTTAAGGCTGAGGGAGGTGTTTAGTGTAAGTGAGAAAGTTTTTGACAATTTTTGAGAAAAATCTGCAATAAACTCCCAATTATTAGTGCAAAAAATTTCTGCGGTTTGTTGATTTTGCATGAATTTCCACGATAATTCTCAAGCACCTGGAGGGACTGATTGATATAATTTGGCAGTAAGCAGATAAAAACTGCACTGATTTGATTGATAACATAAAATTTAAGCATACTTAATGTTTTGTCTAGAATCTAGAGGGCCGCATAAAAAGCTATGGCGGGCCAGATTTGGCCCATGGGCCTCGAGTTTGACACACGTGTCTTAGGCTTTTTTTTTACATTTTGTCACATTGCAAGCACAGACTTCAATGCTTGTTGGGAGGGATTTCATCCATCCATCAGTAGGCTTGTTGTAATGCCAAAGTTTTTTTTCACATTTCCTTCTTTTGTGCAGCATATTTGAGAAACAAGGCAGCTCAAGCTGCATTACATCATAAAACCACCAACATAACATAAAATTTTTCCAAGTCGCGTCATTCAAATGTTGGTCAGTCATTTATTATGGTGCAAAACCAACTCTAAACAGGTGGGTTTTTAATCTGGACTTAAAGGAACTCAGTGTTTCGGCTGTTTTGCAGTTTTCTGGAAGTTTGTTCCAGATTTGTGATGCATATAAGCTGAATACTGCTTCCCCATGTTTGGTTCTGGTTCTGGATATACAGAGCCGAACCAGAACCAGAAGACCTGAGTGGTACATGTGGTTGTAATGCAGCAAGATGTGTGTGAATTTTATATGCTTTACAAAAACACACCCAACGTTTTCATTAGGTTTTGTTTTTGTTGAGGCTGAAAAACCAGAAGAGTTTCAGGGCTTTTCACTGAAAAGTTTTCAAGCCAGGATCCTACAGCCTAAATTATTTCTTCAAGATTTAAAATAAAAAGATTATCTTTGCAAGCATGTCAGTGTCTACAATGCCACTTTATGAAGCACAAAAAAGTATCATTAAATCTTTAACCCCATAATGTCTTCATGCACAGATTCAGGAACATATTTTAGAGGTTTTTTCATTTGAGTCACTCTAAGGATCAGTTCAAACACCCTAATGATTTATTAGCTTTTCACTGACTCTGAAATCCTGTCCTGAAAAATGAGCTCATACCCCTGCTGGGACGTGGCGGATGACAAACCACCCAGCTGGTGGAGATGAGTTATTCCCCTGTTGGGTACAGAGACAGGAGGGAGAAGGCAGAGCTCCGACCTCCAGGGAGCGCTTACGCTGCTTTAAAATTCAGCTGCAGAAAAACAGAAAGAGAGAGAGAGATATACTGAGCTGCACTCAGGGTAATTAAAACCAAATTCCCCATATTAATGGTTTTTACACACACACACACACACACACACACGTTTGTGTTGCTATCTTTGTGGGGACTTTCCATTGACTTCCATTCATTTCTACAGCCTAAACCTTACCTTTACCCTTTTCCTAACCCTAACCATCACATACCTAAGAATCTATCCTGTTCTCTAAAAGGTGTTTTTTTTTTTTTTTGCAAGTTCCATATTTAAAGCATTTTCCTTGTTGAAAAAATTGCATAAACTGATGGGTCATGGTAAGTTGTGAAAGTGGCTGAAACAGAAGTGGGAACTGTAGAAATTTGAGTTTAGTAAAATGCATTATTTTATTATGCAAAATGTGTAGTAGCCCTAAGTTATAAGTGTAGTTTAATGTTCATTTTACATTTACATTCAACAGTGTGTGACAAATCCCACTATTAATTGATATGAAATGCTTTGCTAATGTTTTGATCTTTTTCTTCAGACGACTCAGAATGGTGGGTTTCTTTTAAAGCAGTTTTGATTTGTTCTTCAAGAGAGCTGAAGGTCTTTAAAAGTTTTAATTCGGACCTTGAGTGCTTTTTCACTTTGTTTTACCAATCTTTTATAACTTATTATGCAGGATAGACTTTGATAAGAAAAGGAGAGGAACAAATTTGAGAACAACTGGACTCTGTGACCTGAGATGCATTATTATTATTATTATTATTATTATTATTAATATTATTCAGTAGTATGTCATATGGAAAGCTTGAAGCTAGTACCTAAACTTACTAGTGTTAAAATACATTTTTTTGTTCAAAACTATGCATCTTTGCTATTTTGGTAAAAAAATAAATAAAATTAAAGTGTTATTTATGCATAGAAAATATGATAAGTCACAGTTTGCTTTGAAAAAAAGAAAACAAGCACAGAGATAAAGCTGGATAAAAAACAACTAAGTCCAAACATAAAAGGACAGGCATAACAGTGTCATAAACATGAAGGAGTCTTCTGAATATGTATAACTGTTGACATAAAATGTCATTTGGTAAATAATTACATTTTTAATGCAAAGTTGCCCTAACAGTTGTATTAAAAGTCCAATAAAAGTGGAAACTTTGCATCATTTGGTCAATAATGAGCCTTTTAATGCAAAGGTCCATAAAAATTGGAATTAAAAGTTAATTAAAAGTGTCATTATTTACTGAATGACACTTCATGTCAACAGTCACAAACATTAATGCGGACTTCTTCATGTTTATGACAGTCTTATGCACACCCCTTCCAATAAAGTGTTACCAAAAGATTTTCAAACCAGGTGAAGTACCAATTTAAAAGATTCCAACCGAGTCTCACTTCTCGCTGTCAGCGTTGCTTCGTAGAGGATCCGAATACCAGCAGGTCTTCAGGAGGCGCGTTGAATGCAGGCACTTAAAAGTACCGTTATGTATAACTTCCTAAATGCTAAATGAGTGCGTTTCCCAACTGCAGCACAAGTCTTGGTTTCAGAATCAATAAATTAGGGTCCTGGCTTTCTGTTTATTAGCTAATTTAATTCAGTAAGCAGCTCGGAAATGACATTTGAGGGAAACCGCCCCCACTAATTGACTCTGATCACAACTGTGCTTGCCTCCGTCCATGTAAGGAATTACAATGTGTCTATTAGTTCAGCCTGCAGAGGCTATGCGCCGCCTGTTTTAGTGGGGCATTAGAGTCTGCGGACGATATTTGAATTTTACTTTTCGCATGACGCATCGGCCCTGCTTCATAATCGCGTCCTTAATCAGGCTCTGCTGAATGTGGCAGACAGAATATGAGCCCTGGATGTTGGAGGAGGTTTGGGCCGAGTGGTCAACATGCAATCTGTACTCAAAGAAAGGAAGAGTCAAAGTACACCCTGTACCATCTTGTCCGCTCTTTCGGCTGCTAATATCCAACTGCTGTATGATTAGTCAGAGGGAAAGAGCGGCCAGAGTCTGCCGAGCAGCTATCTTCATTACTGTCCATTCAGCTTACTGCTTTCTTTTAACGTCACATTCATTTCCCCCTCTTTTCTCCGTCCCATCTTTGTCTCCTGTAGCAGCTCCGTCTTGCACTATCTGTCTCTTTGTATCTGTTTCTCCATCGTCATGTTTTAATAGCCTGGCAAGCAGAGCAATAATCCCTCTATTATTATTCCAGCTGCAGAAGGAGAGAGAGAGAGGAAAGGAAAAAAAAACCCTAGGGGGGTAGACAGGGCGCCATTTATACAAAATGAATGTGATTGCTTTGGTGGAAGAGACACACGTAAGGGGCAACATTTCTGTCTCCTGGACTGTGGTTATGCAATATTCATGGTGCTGTTGTCCACCTGGTTGCGGAAGAACACTGACAGATCCTTGTCATCAATGCCAACATCTGAAAAATTGAGCACAAGTGCATTTCGCAGTAAAAGTAATCAAAAGCCTTCAACTTTATCCACATTTATTGATCTCACATCCACAAACTTTAGTCTGTTTTTTCAGATTTGATGTGACAGACTGACACAATGTGGTGAAACGTCAAATTGAAAGGAAATTTGTAGTATATTGCTCCAGTTTGATACTCTTATTCTCTTAAATTAAATTCAGTGCAACCAATTTCCTGTAGAATTACAATAATTGTTAGAGTTAGATTCATACAACTTTCCAACTTTTAAATATTTAATAGCTTAATCCATCACTTAAAGACGAAAAAATACGGCACAGCTGTACGCCTAGCAAGATGTGATGTGTTGCATCACAGAGCTGCAGAGATCTGTAGCTCATACAGGACAACCGAGAGCTAGATTGACATCATTTAGGTCAAAGGATATTGACGTGTTAGAATGGTCCAGTCAAAGTCCAGACTTAAACCCTTTGCACATTTGTGATGAGATTTAAAAGTCAATGTGCACAGTTGTTATCCGTTCAGTTTGCCTTAGATTGGATGGAGCTGACTATGTGTAATGATCCCTTCACTTCATATTGATCTGCAAATCTGTTGGTCTGTTGCATAAAATACATGAAGTACGATGAGAAAATGTGAAAATTTGAAGCGGTATTTAGCATATTAGTGTTAAGGAAGTTTTTTGGAAACATCCTCATAATCTTCATCATGTGCTTTTGCCCCTGCAGGCGGCCATACTTGCTACCTGCCTGCTATGCGTCTGAGGGCCTCTTTCTCTGCCCACAGCCATGCCAGACGTGAAGCTTCCCCCACCATGTGACTACCCCTCCACTTCCCCTGTTGCACTCTCCGCCAGCTCTCCTGCTGGCTGCAGCTCTCCCCTGCACCTCAGGATCGACATGGAGCCCTGCATCGCCAACCTCCCTCTGTCCCCAGACCCCTTGAGCTCGTTCCCCCGCCACAGGCCCTTCCACGCTCTGTCGTACCCGCTGATGGCCAGGTGCAACAGCAGCACCTTGCTCACCAACTTGGGGTTGAGGTATTGCTCCAGCCGTCAGGGAGCTCTGGGGGTAGAGCGAGGGCAGGGGACGGTCCGGGGCTCCTGCATCGACACTGGAAGCACTGGCAGCAGGCCTTACAGGAGTATGGAGAACCTGAACTGGAGCGCCATAGGAGATCCTGGCTTGTGTGCACTCAGTGCTGCACCTTGCAGGAGCGTGGACAGCGAGTTTATTTTGCGGTACACCTCTTCTAGCCACTGGTACGACGGACCTCCGGATGGATCCTTGCTCGGTGCCCACGGGCTGGTACCCAACGCAGAGAGTTTGGCATTCTTTCCTCGACACGGGCTACCCAGAAAGGATCTGCCTCTCTTTCCCCAGCTGCTGCTTCCAGGTGGTGTTGATGAATGGGATACAAGGAAGGAACTGAGGGAGAAACTCCGTCTGCAGAGTGCAAGATCCTCTGTTGAGCCTCTGAGGCCTCTCCCGATGCGGCCTCAGGTGAACCCAAATGCTGTTGCCAGTGAACGAGAAGGTGCGCATCAGGGAATCTCAACAGGGTCTAGGCCGACGTGCACAATGCGTACATCTCCAGAGGAGATCAAGCAGGAAGTTTTGAGGCGCTTACAGCTCAGGCGGCAGAACAGCAGCCCCAACCTGACCGTCCAAAGCTCTCAGTCCAGCGCAAAAGTAGCCCAGACGTCCTACACAACAGACAACATTGCAGGGAACCCAAGTGGGACAGAGTCTGTCTGTGAGCGTCGTAGACCTCCTGTGGGGCGACTGTACATCCCAACATTTGAGGAGTTTAAGAGAATGAGGCAGAAGGAGGGAAAGCAAAGTGAGGAGTCTACGGGAGGTGACCAACACCTAGTGCAAAATAATGAATCCTTTTCTGATCAGACTGAGCCTCTGCTTGGACCTGGTGGAGTTCAGAAAGGTAATTCTGGAGGTGAAGAAGGCGTAGGTGTAGCTAGAACCGACGAGGCCCCGCAAACCGCCCCCTCTGCAGAGAAACCTGCTTCAATCACGACGACCAGTAACAGCACCACCGCTTCCACATTCCCCTGCAGCTCTGTCACCAGCAGGAACTCCCCCATCCGAACGGGCCCGTCGCCACGTTCGCCCCTTCAGCCCCAGGCTTCCACAGTCCAAGCCCAGGACAAAGCCATTGTTGTAGGAGGAGACGAAGGGAGCGCCAGGCGCAGGAGGAGCAGTCTGGAACCAGCTGGGTCGGTTCCCTTCCCTGCCAGCAGAGAGAACTGGGAGCGTCCGTCCAGCTGCTGCCCGGCGCTGCTTCTGGAGGGCACGGACCTGTCGAAGTATGGAGCCAAGATATATAAGATGAGGGATGGGCTCATCGGATCTGCACTGGACCTCATCAAGAAAAGGTTAGTCAGGCAGATTTACAGCATGTGGCTCATCTTGTTAAGGTTTTGATTGAACTATTGACTCAGGAGAGCTAAAATACTAACGGTTTATTCTTCCCAACATCATGTTATGTTTGAGAAATATATCCAGCACTTTGATTAAAAAAAACTTTTTTTTATTAATAATAAAACTTTTTTTTATTAATAATGTTTAAATTAAAAGTAGACCTTCTTTTCATGCTCAAATAAAATGTAAAATTCTGTTTTGAAAACTAAAGTTAAAGCACTATTTTAAAGTATTTATTGTTTTTATCAACTACATTTTTCAGTTGTCTTTAACGAAACATCTGTTCACATTGTGGTAACTTACCCAAACACGTTGCAGGTCTACTGCACCCTGCTGGCCTGGCATGGTACTGCACAGGGACTGACTAAATTATATGATTGTAAAAAAAAATTCTACATCCCACTTGACACAGTAAATTTTCATTCATTTAAAGCCAGAAACGCTCAAAACTTTCTCCTTTACCATGCTTTTATATCGTAATAAAAATCACTTAAACTTGATTTTAACAAACAATTAAAATTTACCACTGTAAGTGAAAGTTAATATTTAATTTTTAACCTTACATTTTCAATCTAGGACCATCATTTTATTATTCCTGTAAAAATTATTTTAGGTTTTTACATTTAACATTTTGCACCGCTTAGCTGGAAAATTCATTGTTTTGCCCGAGCCTTGTAGCTGATGCAGCGGCGATCTTAGCTACATTACTGAGCCAAACGCACACAGCAGCATGTTTGTGTGCTATGCAGAACATGCACCTCCATCTGCTTGAGGCCGCGCGCGCCGTCTCGATATCGATTTATCTCAGTTATTGTGCTAACAGCTGTCAGAGTTAACAGGGTTGGCTGTGCAGACGGGGCTGTGGGCGGGAGGCTGACATGAGGCACCGCAGACCGGAGGACCAGCCGTACCTCTGCAGACTCACTGTTTCCCTGCCGCTCCTCTCTCTCTTTGTGTCAGCTGTTGGCTGGATAGATGAATGTATCCATTGTAGTTCATCCCAATCAAGGGCAAACAGGATGATGGCATCATTTACCACATTGTCTTGCTAGTTAGGCCTGTATTTATTGAGCTATTTGTTTATTTTGAGCATGGAGGAGCTGCTAAGTTTGGCCTGTTCAGTAATAAAAGCTGAGTCTCAGCCGTAGCCTGTGATAAATGGGAGATATAGTGCATATTTACCTGGCTGTCAAGACTCTTCACTCACTGTCTCCTCTTTGTCTGCTCAGCTAGGAGGAATGATGGATGTCTGAGGCTATGTTGCATGATGGCAGCAGTAAAATACCTGCTGTGGAAGACTTTGTGCACACAGAGCATTTGAAAATAAATGTATAGGTCTACAGCTGTATTTTTTTATCAATGTGCGTAACCAACGAGCCTGGCTATTACCTTCCTGCGTTTTTCTGCTTGTTTAAAATATCGCTTGACTGCTCTGTCTGTGCTTTCACCCATTCACTTGGATTTCTACAGAACAAGAAGATGTAATGGCAGCAGAGGAAGCAAGCAAAGACGTTCGTTCTGTGTCGGCCACGCTTCCGATTATTGAATTAACACTAACAATGTTGGTACTTCTCTTTTCCCAGTGGAGGACAGTTGTTTACAGCGCAGGCAATTTCCAGTAAGCTTCATAGCTTTGAAGTGACGTCACGGTCAAACGTTAGCAGTCGGGTAAAATTTAAAACTTAGTCCTCCTGTGGGTTCAGGAGATGAGGTCAATTTGACCCCGCAAGCTTTCTGCCCTGTGCGAGGTCCAGCCGGGGTCGCTTAGAGTGTCTCAGAGCGTCACACCAATTAGACTTGAATTATGCTTTTAATATCGGAGCAAGACCTGAGAGACTCCTGTTGATTTATAAATTTTGGAGCACTTAGCAATCCAGAACAAGAATCGAACATGGGGAACCAACATTTAGCTTTATACTTTACTCATCTAGAACAAACTTAGAAAGGACCATCTACTTAGCCACCTAGAACAACTGGAACATTTTAAAGTGTAGTTTTTATTTTGCTGTGCTTGTGTTGATTGTCGTCTAATTTGTCTTGTTGCTGAAAAAGTGCTGCATAGATAAAACCTCTTTCTCTTCTTCTTCTAAGACCACGGGAGGGTAAAACAGAGTTCACGCCTCTGTGAAGCAGTCGTTCCACTCAGACCCTCTCTGTGAACCGAAGCACAGAAAAGACGCTGGTTTTCATCTTGCTCATAGCCAAGCAAAACTTGGGGAAACTGCAAGGCGCACCTCTGCCGTGGTCTCGACTTTAACTCCATCCATCTTCCCATCAACTCCAGCTGCGGTGCCTGCCGTAGCACAGTTCTGCCGCTACCAGGCCTCACTGGGAGACAGTGTGTTTAGGATGATGTGTACTGTTACTTTTCCACTACTCATAGCATCTTGCATGTTACAAAGTCCGTTTTGGTCTGACTGACTCAAAATCACTTCTCGCTGTTGTTTTAATGAGACAAGGAGTCCTGTGATTTGTGGCCCTGTGAGGCTGATTGTTGGAGAGCTGGCAATTTGCTTCGAAACCACAATAAAGCTTATCTGATGCTTTAGGATCAAGGAGCACTGGCCTGATTAAGGTTCGGGGAGAGCGGCAGAAACGATCACAGTTGTGCGCAATCAGTGCGTAATAGTTCGAGTGATGGCTTTTTTTGAAATAGTGGCATGAAAATCACAGATATGCCCACCAGAGACTGATAAGGAGAACCGCATCACACGATATTACGTTCCATTCAGAAGTTGCTCTCTCTCTAAAAAAAAAAAAGAATTACAGTTGCTTCCTGAGCCAGGTGGCTGATGAATTCACCCACTCAGCGGAGCCCGCTGACATGCAGCAGCTCAGAGTCAGCTCTGCTTGTTCCGACCGAATTCTTCTTTTATGTTGGGGGGAAAAATCCAAAAAAGAATCCAACACACTCGGCTCTCTTGTGGTTTAAACTCAAACCTGAGGCTCAGGGCACGTTTCAAAACTTGAAGATTTATTAATTAAACATGGCAGTCTTCTTTGTGGTCTCCTGCCCCCTGCGGTGTTTGGCTTTCACCCATAAGCCTCTTTGTTCAGGCGTATCATGCAGCACATTGTGCGTTCAGAGAATAACAGTCCTCCAGCTTGCAGAATCCCTGCAATAAGCATGTTGTTCTACCTGGGAGGGTTATTACAGGCTTCAGATGGATTAACGCATTAGAACCGCACCGCTGGGGAAACCGTACACCGCAATGAAAACGCGTAGGCTGAGTATAGCGTGAAACTGAAACGGCGTGTCTGCGGTTTATGTGCTTCCTCTTTATTCATCGCCGGTAGACGTCACCACTTAAAGAGAAAGATATTGGATTCATTTGGGCGATACGTGCTTCGGGTAAAATGACAGCCCGCCTAATTTTGTTGTCACATCGCGGCGCGCTGAGAGGCGATCCATCACAAACAGCGATTTCCTGATGAATTAAGCCACAGGTTATTGCTCCCCATGCATCATCCAGGTTGTGACAGCTGGAGCGCGTTGGGGAGAGAGAGAGAGAGAGAGAGAGAGAGAGGCCTTTTTAACCACAGTTTGAACCGACTGGACTCGTCCGAGCTGCGTCCCCGGGGCCACCGGTGGGCTTTCTGCCACGTTGGGTCTGGCTTGATTAAGACGATTGGGCGCCTCCTCTGTGCTGCGCTTGGCGTTTTCGATTAGATAACGGAGAAAGTGCGGGTCGGGTGTAGTTGAGTGAAAAATGTTTTCATACCGCGGACCAGAAAAGAGAAGAGTCTAGGAACAGATTGTGTTAATATGTAGATTTAACCTGTCATTTAAAGACGCACCAATATCTCTGACGTGGACGGAAGTTAAAACCTTGGTTCTGAAAGTAAAATGATAAAAATTAAAATTAAGAAAAGGGGGTAAAAACCAAAGTGATAAAGTAGATCGTTGCTCCATATATTTTGGAAATGTGCTGTGTCTCACAAACGTTTTCACAGCGTTTCACTTTTTCACTTCGGTACGTTAAAACCACAAACTTCATAGCTGAAACGATTCATTGCATTAATCGTGATGAATCAATTGTTGAAATAATAGTCAACTAATTTAGTAATCGATTATAAAAATGTTTTTTTTTATGTTTGATTATTATTATGTTTTTTGTTTAATTTCTTTTTTTATTATTATTTCACCAGTTTGAAATAAATACATTTCATTTCAAGACCGAAATGGGCGGCTACAGATCACAAAATTTACATCAATCAGGATTTTCAGTCACTCTGACACTGGACTGGATTGAGCAATATAAATACTTTTTTTTAAAAAAAATATCTGAGCTACTCCTGTGTAGACTTCTTATAGTTTTCTTTCAGCAGTGGCTGTCTTAGGCATCTATTATTTATCTTCACTTTCACATTTAGTCTCTGATCGGCTCTCAGATGCATCCATTTATTTAGCCGTAGGATGCAAACCACATGACTAAACTACCTCAATACTGAGAAAGAAAGCCCATTTTTAAAGTATTTACATCTTCAGGGCACAGGCATTTCTTAGACTTCATTATGGTCTGTACCACTGAGTCGACTCTGGCTGCTGATCTGTTTAGAAACACGAGTCTTAATTTAAGTAGTACAGAAATCTCTAAAATAATATGTCAGAGGGGATTTTTTTTTTCTTTCCCTTACAAGAATTGCAACAATGTCTTCCTCTGCGGTCGTGACTTCTGGATCGCAAAAGCTCACCGGGGTTTGGAGAACCAGATCAATAAGCTAGTGGGATGTAGAGTTGAGAATGATGCTACAAGCAGAATTTAAAGACGTGTGCATTATTTTATGGCTCCGTTAAACGATAGTTATTTACTATGGAGCTTACGCATTTAATAATAGCTTCGTTAAATGTGTAAGCTGGTAGTTTTAGTGAAAAATCTGCAGACATCCACTCAAGATAAAACATAGACATTAAAAATATGTTTTTTTTTTCTGCAGAATTGCTAAAACCAACACATAAATGATACAAAAATATGCAAATCAGGGATGAAGAGAGAGAAAGGGAGGCTTTGTTACAGTTCATGTGAGTATTTTCTATTGCTAACTTCAATTTATTATAAGGAAATTTTAGGTTATGAAGGAATCAATACAAAAAGAATTAAGAGTTTGGAGTTTTTCTTTATTATTTTTTACAAGCAAATATCTGAAATATGATTCCCGTGAACAAAATCCAGTGCAAAAAAAAGTCACTAAACCCTAACTTAGTGCATTTTACTGACAGAATGGCCCAGTCAAAGTCCTGATCTCAATCCAGTTGAGAACCTAGAGCAAGACTTGAACATTGATGCTCAGTATTCAATTGGAATTTGAAATGTACTAATTGATTTGGGAGAGACAATGCACACTGATGAACATTTCTGTAAATGTGACAGGATTGACCAAATGGCTGTTTTTCATCCAATGTGAAATTTGTGTTGCTAAAAGCAAACAAAGTTAATACAAGACAAGGTCAAGTGACTTTAGTACACACATTTAGTCAATAAATACAAATCAGTACAAACAGTAAATACAAGACAAAGGAAAATACAACACATTTTTTTTTCTGGGGAAAAAAAAACTATAAGAAATTGTTAAAATTGGCCAAACTGGAGCTGAAAGGAAGAGTTTCTGTCTCTAGTTGTGCAAAGCAGGTAAAGATAAAATAATTACAGATGTGGCTGCAGCGAACGCTGACTCTTATTAGCAGACGAGTTTTTGTTCCCATCCTTTGATTCCTCTTTACAACTATACGTCACGATTTCTAGGTTGATTACATAAAACCCCAAACATACGTTAGGATTTGTGGTTAAAATATACCAAAATGTGTAAAGATTTATAGATTGCAGATTTTTTTGGAGGATTATGTTTCGTATTAGGTACATGAACATTTGCAGAGTAATTTCAGCTCAGCTGTTTAGCTTTTTTTTTTTTTTTTTTTTTTTTTTTGGTGAGGATGCATCAGAGCCGCTAATGGTTGTGTGCGGTGAGTGTATAGCTGTCCAGTTATCAGACAAAAGGATGAACGATGGGAAGGTCTGTTCTTGCATGCAGGAATTACCCATGTGGTCCCGGGGTTCAGGTGTTAATATGCACTGATGTCCCTAATTACTATCCCTCTGAGGCGGAGGAGGAGAGCAGGGGTATTGATCGAGGTGTTTGGGGGGTTGGAAGGATGATGGTGGAAGAAGAGGAGGAGGATGGTTGTGGAGGACAGTCGACTCAGCAGGGGAGCAGAGGGTGTGTGTGTGTGTGTGTGTGTGTGTGTGTGTGTGTGTGTGTGTGTGTGTGTGTGTGTGTGTGTGTGTGTGTGTGTGTGTGTGTGTGCAGGAAAGGGAATGACAAGGAAGCTGTTTGCTGACAAGCATTTCTCCAGAATGATAATCCCAGCCCTCCTCTCTCTGCTGCATGCTCACTGGTTTTTTTTTTTTTTTGCCTTCCCCCCCCCCCCCCTCCCCCCCCCCCAATT